CCCCGCGTCTCAGGGGGTTCCCCAGCCGGGGGGGTGCCCCCAGCCACCGACCTGGTGCTGGGCGCCGCGGCCGGGTGCTTGGCCTGCGTGCTCACCAACCCGCTGGAGGTGGTCAAGACGCGGCTGCAGCTCCAGGGCGAGCTGCAGCCCCCCGGTACCTACCCGCGGCCGTACCGGGGCGTGCTGCGGGCGCTGGGCGCCGTGTGCCGCGCCGATGGGCTGCGGGGGCTGCAGAAGGGCCTGGCCGCCAGCCTGCTCTACCAGGGGCTGATGAACGGCGTCCGCTTCTATTGCTACTCGCACGCCGAGGACGCCGGCTGGACGCGGTACCCCGGGGGTACCGTGGCCGCCGGAGCCATCGCCGGGGCGGTGGGAGCCTTCGTGGGCAGCCCCGCGTACCTGGTGAGTGCCTCTGCCCCGCTGCGGGAGGAACTGGGGGGTTTGGGGGGTTCTATAAAATAGAACGTATTTGGCTACCCTGGAGCTGGCTCCAGCCTCCGAACAGCGCTCGGCGCATCCCTTCTGCCCTGCGCTGCTTCACCCCCCGAAGTGAGGGTCTGATTTCTGCATGCTTTTCCCTTCTCCCTTATGGGAACTCCCCCTTCCCCCCCCCCCCAGATCCCTCCCCTCCTGGAAATCTGAGCAGAGAACTCCCTCATAAGGGAATTGGGGTGTTTCTCCCCCCACACCGGTTTTTAGGGTTGCAGAGCTCAGAGAGGGCTGCAATGAGCGCTCACAGGATCCTTTTGCTGCAGGCTGGGAGGGTGAATACAGGGGGTTCAAAGTCTGGAGGTGCTGCTTGGCACCACATCTGGGCACCCCACATCTGCCAAGGGGCTCAGAACACCCCAAGAGCTGCTGAGAAGAGATGAGGAGGGAGAACCCACGGTTTGTCCCGGTGGGGATTGGGGGGGGCTTGTGACACACATCTGTGTCCCCCCCCAGGTCAAGACCCACCTCCAAGCCCAGACACTGTCCTCAGTGGCCGTGGGCCACCAGCACAATCATGAGGTGAGGAGTGGGGTCTTGGGGGGCGTGGGTACCCATGGTTTGGTGGCACCGTGGCCACGCACGCAGCAGGACCCGGTGGGGACGGTGCTATTTTGGGTGTTGAAAGCTGCTGTTTGGCCCGTAGAGATGCTATAAATAACAGTGAACAAGGAGGGAGTGACAGGAACATGGAGCTGGGACACTGGATCTGGGCACCCCACGGGACCGCTGGCACCCATACAGAGCCACGGTGGCTTCGTGCCACCAAGGGGGTTTTGCACAGCAGGGTGGGAAATTGTGCCAGGGTGGGATAGAATCATGGAACCATGGAATGGTTTGGGTGGGAAAGGATCTTAAAGCTCCTCCAGTTCCAACCCCTGCCACGGGCAGGGACCCCTTCCACTAGAGCAGCTTGCTCCAAGCCCCTGTGTCCAACCTGGCCTTGAACACTGCCAGGGATGGGGCAGCCACAGCTTCTCTGGGCACCCTGTGCCAGCGCCTCAGCACCCTCACAGTAAAGAACTGCCTTATCTCCAACCTGAACTTCCCCTGTTTCAGTCTGAACCCATCACCCCTTGTCCTACCGCTCCAGTCCCTGATGAAGAGCCCCTCTCCAGCATCCCTGTAGTCCCCTTCAGGCACTGCAGGCTGCTATTGGAAGGGATGCGCTGTTCCCATTTTTCCCCAATTTCCTCACTTCCCAGAGCATCTCCGGAGCGTTCGAGAGCATCTACAGGCAGCACGGGGTGGCAGGGCTGTGGCGGGGGGTGACGGGCGCCGTGCCCCGCGTGGCGGTGGGCTCAGCTGCGCAGCTCGCCACCTTCGCCTCCGCCAAGGACTGGGTCTGCGAGCACCAGGTGAGGGCAACGCGGGATCCGGAAGCCATTGATCCAATGATCCCCCCATTCCCTGTTTTTGGTGGGAGGAGCTGATGCCCACCGCTTCCCGCAGTGGTTCGGGGAGGGCAGCTGGGCCGCGGTGCTGGCGGGGGGCATGGTGAGCGGCGTGGCCGTGGCGGTGACGATGACGCCTTTCGACGTGATCAGCACCCGGCTCTACAACCAGCCCGTGGATGCCGACGGCACGGTAAGGCCATGTGGGGAAGGGGATGGTGGGGAACACGGCTTTTCCCAGGATCCATGCGCCACAGGGGCTCCTCTCTCCCCAGGGCAAGCTCTACCGGGGGTTTTTGGATTGTATCCTGCAAATCTCCAGCAAAGAGGGGCTGCTGGGCTTGTACAAGGGCATCGGCGCCGTCTACCTCCGCCTCGGCCCGCACACCGTCCTCAGCCTCTTCTTTTGGGATGAGCTCAGGAAGATGGTGCAGCACCAGCAGCCCCCGGGGCTGTAGGATGGGTCCTGGCCCTGCTGCGCCCGTCAATAAAGGGGTTTTTCTAGTTTTTGGCGTCATTTCAGGGTCTCTGGGGTGGTGCAAATCATAGAATCACAGAATGGTTTGGGTTGGAAGGGACCTTAAAGCTCATCCAGCTCCAACCCCTGCCACGGGCAGGGACCCCTTCCACTAGAGCAGCTTGCTCCAAGCCCCTGTGTCCAACCTGGCCTTGAACACTGCCAGGGATGGGGCAGCCACAGCTTCTCTGGGCACCCTGTGCCAGCACCTCAGCACCCTCACAGGGAAGAGCTTCTGCCTTATGTGCATCTTAAATCTCCCCTGTTTCAGTTTGAACCCATCACCCCTTGTCCTATCGCTACAGTCCCTGATGAAGAGCCCCTCTCCAGCATCCTTGCAGCCCCCTTCAGACACTGGAAGCTGCTCTGAGGTCTCCAAGCAGCTTCTCTTCTCCAGGCTGAACAGCCCCAGTGTTCTCAGCCTTCAGCGAGGGCTGACCTGAAACGCTGCGCTGCGTCAGGCTGGAAAGAACAATGGTGATGCCAGGGGCCAAAATGCTCATGATCCACAGACCCCATCGTGTCCATCCCATTGCTGCTTCCCTCTGTCCACCCTAATTTTCCCCTCCATGGGGCAGCTGGAGCCCTGGCTGGAGGAGCTGAGCTCCAGCTGCCCTCACTTGCCCCAGCAATGATTTACCAGCCAGGGGGAGGCTCCCGGCCTCCACCCCTTGGACCTTGGAGCCGGGCCCTGGCTCTGCTGTGGCTCCTCTCCATCCGGAATGTTTTCCCTGGGGTCGTGGCTGCCGGGGCTGACATGGGGCTGGGCGCTGCTGGATGCGCTGCTACAAGGTGAGAGCCCCCGGGGGTCCATGGGGACAGCTTGGGTATGGCTCAGGGACACCGGTGACCTGCTGCTGCCTTTTCCCTGCAGGGCTGGTGGGTGCCTGCGCCGTCTCGGTGCTCTGCAGCCTCCTGAAGGTTTATCTTTACATCCAGTGCCTGAAGTAAGCACCAGCCCCTCTTTCCCGGTTCCACAAGGGGGTTTTGGGATGGATCTGCCTTTGGGATCCACTACTGGGGAGGGCAGCTCGCAGCACCCATGCGTGCTGGCAGTGGCAGGGCAAGGGCTGTGCCCTCTTCTCCCTGCTGCAAAGCACGGGGGACCTCTCGAGGCTGTCACCCTGCTTTTGGGGCGGCAGAGGAGGGAGGGGACATCCCGCCCGGCTCAGCGTCCCCCTCGCTGTCCCCAGTGACCCAGAGGGGCAGGCGGAGAAGGAGGCGATGCGGGCGCAGCGGCGGGTGCTGGAGCCACTGCATGTGCTGGTGCTGACGGGGCTGCTGGCGCTGGTGGGCTCCCGCGTGGCCGCGCTGGTGGTGCTGGAGTTCTCCCTGCGCGCCGTGTCCACCCTGCTCTCCCTCGGCAAGGTGAGACGGGACACGGGGGAAACCGAGGCACGGGGGGCTGCGGAACCGAGCCTCGCTTGTGGGTTTGCCTGGGGAGGATGGGGAGGGGGCATGGACTGTGTGTGGGTTTGCAGCACCTGCAGAGAGGATGAGGGCTGTGGCGTGCCCGAAATAAATCCCCTCCTGCTGCTTGCAGCACCCATGAGGCATATGGGATCTGCAGCATCGAGGATGCTGTGCATCTTCCCGCTGCTTTGCAACCTTTGCAGGGAGGATGAGGATGGCTGGCATGGAGAAAACCATGTATTGTTTTGCATGCATGCATGTCTGCAGCCATGTATCCCCTTGCTGCATGCAACGCCTGAAGCGTTATAGGGGGCTGCGGCATGGAGAAAACCACTCAGTGCTTTGCAACTGTGCATCCCTGCTGCATGGAGCATCTACAGGGAGGATGAGGATGGCTGGCATGGAGAAAACCATGCATTGCTTTGCATGCATGCATCTCCGCAGCTATGCATCCCCTTGCTGCCTGCAACATCTGCAGGGCTACAGGGGGCTGCAGCATGGAGAAAACCACTTGCTGCTTTGCAGCCATGCATCCCCTCACAGCTCTGCAGCACCTGCAGGGAGGATGAGGATGGGTGGCATGGAGAAATCCATGTATCACTTTGAATGCCTGTGTGTCTGCAGCCATGCATCCTGCTTTGCACTGCAGCCAAGCACTGCTTTGCAACACCTGTGGGGAGGATGAAGATGCATGTCTTTGCAACTGCATCCCCTTGCTGCCACCAGCGCTTGGGGGGTCACAGGGATGCTGCAGCATGGAGGAAGCCCTGCATCCCCTCGCATCCGTGCATCCCTCCCTGCTCTGCTGACAGCGTGTCCCGTCCTGCAGGGCTCCCACAGCACCCAGCTCTACCTGCTGTGCCAGTACTCGCTGGGCTGCGGCGTGTCCTGCGGCCTCAGCTTCCTGCTGGAAGGGGCTCCCCACAGCACCTGCAACCTGGCGCTGGCGGCGGGGCTGGCGGGGCTGCTGGCCTGCGGCGCGCGGCGCCTGGCGCGGCACGTCTGCACCCTGTACGAGCTGCACAGCCCCGCGCAGTACTGCGGCGTCTGCATCCTCCTGCTCAGCACCGGGCACCGCATCCCGCGCCTGCTGCGCCAGGCGCTGGCCATCACCTTCACCGTGGCGGACCTGGCTGCCGTAGCCCTCATCAACCGGGATTTCCTCTCCACGGGGGAGGCCATCCGCTTCTGGACGCCGCTCACCATCTGCTACACGCTGCTGATCATCTACATGCAAGGTGAGGAGGAGACCCAGTTACGGGGGTTTGGGGGGTATGTCCCTATATGGTGCATCTGTAGCATCCCTGAAGTGTCAGTCCCTGGCTGTGGGGCAGGGACAGGGTCCCACTGTGGTGGCCGTGTCCTTGCAGAGGAGCCGCAGCAGAGCAGCGGGAGGCGGCCGGTGTTCCAGACGGTGCTGGTGCGCATGGGCGGCCTCTTCATCCTCCTCCTCACCGTTGGGCACTGGGTTGACATCTTCCACGTCCTCATCTCGCTGTTGGGAGAACTGTGGTGCCTGATCCATGCCCGTGTCATGCTGGAGGCGTGCTGGAGGCAGGTGAGGTGGTGACACCGCCACGACGCTGCAGTGAGGGACTGTGGCAGCCTTGAGACCACGGTGAGGGGCTTCTCTGCTTCTCTCCTTCCATCTCCCATAGGATTTCACGCAGCATTCTCGGTTGGATAGGCGGCCAAGATCGGGATCAGAGGCGGCATCCTGATGGACACAGGGTGTAACTGGGCATCAGAGACTCAAAGTGGTTTTGCCTGGCTCCCCAAAACACTTCCACCCACCCCACCCCCCAAATCCTCCCCATCACAGATCCCCCATGGGGATGAAGGAAAAAGGGCTCCTGGAAGGTGCTAGACCCCATCCCACAGGGTGGGGGAGCTCAGAGGGAGACTCTTGTATCCCCTGTTTTTGGGGGGATCCCATGAGGTTGTGGCACTGCTGGGGACTGGCTCCCTGGTCCCACTGTGGGTCTGGGATGCTGATGGACGCCCTGGCCCTGGTGGCTGCAGGGCCACACTGTGGCAGTTCAGGGGCCTCCAAGGGCTTGTAAACCTCGGGAAATAAAGGTTTTTCCAGCAAAATCCAGGGGCAGAGTGAGCTGAGGTCCCACCATGCCAGAGCGGGGTGCACAGAGGTGGTGTGGGGTGTTCTGGGAGTGTACTGGGCATCCTGGGGGCAAAAGGGGGCACAGCGGAACATGTGGAGCTGTACAGGGAACTATGGGGTTATCCTGGGGATAGAGGGGGCACATGGGGCATCCTAGGGGTATATGGGGTGGTTCACAGGGCACCCTAGGGGTGTTGGGAGCATCCAGCACTGTATGGGGCAACCTGAGAGGGCCTGGGGTAACTGGGGGGGGGGATATCCATAGGACAACCAGGAGTGGGGATGGGAGCATGGGTCATCCCAGGGCACACAGGGGCACCCAAGGGGCTATGGGTCACCTCGGGATGCAGGGGGCAGTCAGAAGGCACCCTTGGGTCCATGAGGCACCCTGAGGTCCCATGGAGCACCCTGGGGTGCATGGGGCAGTCGGGGGGGCCTATGGGGCACCCCATGTCCTATAGGGCACCCTAAGTTCCTATGGGGCACCCCAGGGTGCCCCGTACAGCTCCGGATCCCCCGAACACCCCTAGGGTGCACTGGGCGCCCCACTCGCCATGGGGCAGGCGGGGGGAGGAGGAAGGAAGGAAGGAGGAGAAGGAGGAGGAGGGAGGAAGGGGCGGTGATGCCGGGCGGCTCTGCCCCCCCGCTGCCCCCGCCGCACCGGGCGCGTCCGCGGAGCGCACGGAGGGACCCGCACCGGATCCCAGGTAGGGGACAGGGACAGGACCCCCCCCACAAGGAGCTGTGGGGCCACCTCAGGGCAAGCGACACCCCCCCCCCCCTTAAGGACCCCCACAGGTAGGGGACAGTCCAGGTATGGGGTTGGGGACCCCCCAGGTAGGGGACAGGGACCCCCGCCAGGTAATGGGCAAAGGGCTGCAGAGCCGTCCTGGGATGGGACAGGGGAACCCGGAGCCACCCCCAGGAAGGGGACTGGGGGGTCTCAGGTTGGGGGGGGCATGGTGGGGCCACCGCCATACATGGGATATGGGGCTATGGGGGGGGGGGGCGGTGGGAGATGGGGTTGTGGGGGACTGCAAGGCCACCCCAGGGTAAGGGACATGGGGACAGTGGGGCCACTCGTGAAAGGGACCAGGGGACACCCTGCGCTGTGTCCCCCCGCTCTGCCCCTTCTCCTTTGGGTGTCCTCGAAGTGCTCTCCAAGAGGTCCCCAGGGCAGGGCACAGAGTTGGGGGTCACTTGTAGGATTCCCGTGTCCCCTCCTAATTCTGGGTGGATTTCGGGGTGCCCCATAAGTGGCCCCACCTGGGCTCCCCCCCCCAGGAGATTTTGGGACGATGCTCGCAGGAAACCGGGAAGGCCCTTCCCAACATGGCCCATCCCAAACCAGGACAGGGCTACGTGCAAGGAGCAAGGGAACGAACCCCATATAAAATGGGGGGGGGGGGGCACCCCATTACTGCACCCCTCAAGCCTCGACCACCCTGACGGCCCCTGGCTGGGGGGGAACCGGGGGTGCCGCGATGGGGCCGCCGGGATCCATCAGCCCGGCACAAAGAGGAATGCGCTGAGCACATGGTTCCCATTAGCCCCGGCGATCAGTTTTTTTACTTTTGGGGGATTTTTCACCATTATTACCGGTTCCCCCCCCTTTTTCCCCTGCAGCGCTGCTGGGCAGGAGGAGGAGCAGCGCCGGCTCCCGCGGGCAGGGTTTGAGCGGCTGGGCCAAGGCCGGCGGTGCTGGAGCCCGGCTGGGGTTGTGCCGGCGGGGAGGGCGGGAGCGAAGCCGCTTGGGCTGGGTTCGAGTTCCCTTTCTAATCCCTTCCCCTGCTTGAGTCAGAGGCTGAAGTCACCGGTGTGAGCATCCCGAAGCCCTGCACCCACCGCAGGGGGACTGTCCCCCCCCAAAAGGATGCACTGGAACCAGTGAGAGGGAGTTTGGGGGCACGGAGCCGCCCTGCACAGGGAATGAGACCGGGCAGCTCGTCACACAGGTACTGCTCAGGCTGACAATCCACCAAGGGGATGAATCTTCACTGCTGCAGCTCCCGGCTAAAGCCTCAGGGCTCCCTGCCCCCCCTAAACCATCCAGTTTGGGAAGGGGAAGCTTCGCCCCAGCTGCTTTTCCCGTTGGGAAGCTGAATAAACAGAGCTTTTCCTGCCCAAATGGGGTTTATCGGGATCAGGCGCATCCTGCCTGTGCTGCTGGGCGATGCTCAGGGGCCTTTTTGGTGATGGGGGGATGTGGTAATGTGCAGCATTGTGCCTCAGTTTCCCCATCTGTAATGCTAAAGCGGGGGATGCCCTGAGCTGGAAGTCATTAGCAGGGAAATGGGGGTAAGCAGGGAGGGAATGGGAAGCCAGGGGACATGGGAACACTCCCAAAAAGGGTTTGCAAAAGGAGATCCTATCGCAACCCTGTTTTTAAGAGGAAAAGTGAGATTTTTCTGCTGCCCACCGGGAGCTTAATCCCAAATGGGGGCAAAAAGAGGGAATAAAGGGGATTAAAAGGCCTGCAAACAGGCAGGGCTTGGCCACAAGGGCCTGAAAATGGGAGATTTTGGCTGCTGCCTCACCGGGACCCTTTACCCTGTGTCCTCCCAGGCACGAGGCTGTTTATTGCCATGACGTGGGATGGGGACACTCGCTCCTTCTCCCTTTCCGGGAAGGCGAGGAGGGAGGCGGGCTGAGGCTGAAGGGCAGCAGGGCCTCGGGAGCTCCCAGTGTGCCCACAGGTTTTGCTCTCTCATTTTGCCCTAAAACCAAACCCAGGTCCGGCCCGTCCGTGCTTTTGGCGATGCTGCCGGGGAAAGCGGAGAAGAGGATGGTTTCATCGGTCTTCATCACCCTGGTGCCACCGCGGAGGGAGGTGGCCACCAAGGAGAAAACCCAAAGGGAGCTGCGGCCAGATGGGAACAAGGTCCCAGGCACCCATCACCCCTGGACCCCGCTGCCCCGGCCCCCTGCGTTGCCCAATGGAGGTGAGTGGTGGCTGTGGGGTGCTGCAAACGGTGCTGGGAGGATGGTGGTGCGGAGATGCTTTGTGTCTCCTTTGCATTAAGGGATGTGTGTGCAGGCAGGAAGGGATGTGGGGGGTTTGAGGGGGTTATTCCTCAAATCCCTGCACCCATCCCTGAATGGATCTGGCTGCTGGGAACAGCCTGTGTTTGCTCTTCATCACTGGGTGCTTATCGGCCTTGTTTGTCCCCTCGGCTGCGGTGGCGTTTGCTTTTGGGGCAGGTCGGTGCAGTGAGTGTTGCTGCAAAGTCGTCAGGGAGCTATTGCAATGGGGCATTCTTGGAGCCCCCTAAATCCACCACATCTGGCTTTTGCCACAGAAACCTGCCCAGCAGCCCCTGTGCCTTCATCCCCAACCGTCCTTGTCCTCTCCGAAGCTCCCCAGCCCTTGTCTGCAGAGACACTGGTTCCAGCGCTGCAGCAAGTGGACCTTGCAGCACCCACCACCCTCCAGGTTAGGACGCATCCCACCACTGCCTCAGTTTCCCCACATGCAAGGGCATAAGTGTGACATGCCATTGTCTTCCTGCACCCGCCAGGCCCCTTCTGCCCTCCCTGCCGAATTGAGGCCACCCAAATTCTGCCAGGAGCAAGCCGGCAAGCCGCAGCGGCGGGATGCGGAAGGGTACCCAGAGAGGGACAGCTCCAGAGGTAAGGCGGGGATGGAGCTGCACTGTGAGCTCTTCCTCAGTTGGGGAAACTGAGGCACGCAGCACCAAACCCCTCTCCCTTCTTCCCGAAGACATCTGCGCCTTCTGCCACAAGGCACTGGGGCCGCGGGAGCCGACAGTGGAGGCCATGGGGAAGCAGTACCACGCCGAGTGCTTCACCTGCAGGATGTGCCCCCGGCTCCTGGCCGGGCAGCGCTACTACCAAAAGGATGGGCGTCCCATGTGCGACGCCTGCTACCAGGTACCCATACTCCCATGGGGACAACCAGCACCCTCGGGGAAGGGGGGGGGAGGGCAGGAGATGCGGTCCCTGAGGATGGGAGCAGGGATCTCATGGTGTCCCCCCCACACCCCAGGCCACACTGGAGAAATGCGCCAAGTGCCAGGGGCTGATCACGGAGCGCATCGTCCGTGCCCTGGGCAAAGGCTTCCATCCTGACTGCTTCTCCTGTGCTGCCTGCGGCCGGGCCATCGGCACTGAGAGCTTCGCTGTGGACGAGCAGGATGAGGTGTACTGCGTGGCCGACTTCTACAGGTTGGGGAGCATGAGCATGGCAGTGCTGGTGACATGCAGCTTGTCCCCATCACCCCACAGCGCTCATGCTGCTCCCGTTTGCTCCCATCAGGAAATACGCTGCGGTCTGCAGCGCTTGTGAGCGCCCCATCATCCCCCACGAGGACAAGGACACCTACAAGATTGAGTGCCTGGGACGCAGCTTCCACGAGAGCTGCTACTGCTGTGAGGTACGGCCCCGATGGTGCCCCCCAAAAGCACAAGGGATTGGCTCTGAGCCTTTGTAAAGCACAGCCAAGGGGTCTGCAGCACCCCGGGTGCCATCAGTTTACCTTGCAAGTGGTGGTGATGGGGAGATAAACAGATCTGGTGAAAAGGACAATGTGCTTAGCCAGGAGAAGTTCAGCTTTTCCTGCTTTTTATGGAGTCTGCTGCTTTGTCCAAGCGCTGGTGGGTTTGATAGGATGCAACATGGCACGGGGCCCCTAACATGTGTCCTCCCTTTTCCCTCTCACCCCCAGAGCTGCCGGACACCCCTGTCACCAGAGCTGACAGAGGATGGGTGCTACCCCCTGGACAACCACCTCCTCTGCAAGTCCTGCCACATCCGCTGGCGAAGCGAGTCGTCCTGCTAAAACCCCGTGGTTCAACCTCCATCTTCCAGCACCAGACACCAAACGGGGTGCATCCACTAGTGTCCACTTCACCCCCAAATAGCTGCAGGACTGGGGTTTTCATCACCAAAACGAAGCTTGGACCCTGACTCGCTGGGCTGGCCCGGGGAACCACAGATGCAGTGTCCCTGTGCTCA